AAACAGGTAGGTCAGTTTGATCAGGGTTGGAGCTAAACTGCAGCGCATTGGCCCTCCAGGGCAAGATTTGAGGAACCCTGGTCTAGAATGTCCGTACAATGTGTACATATTTATACCAAGTTTATTTTTTATAAATCCTGATATGTACGTGGAAAATTACTTATGCAATTTCTATGCCCATTTTGTGCGTGTGCAACATTTATAAATGAGACCCTGGACTGTCAATATATTCAAATAATCATTACTAAAGGTCAACTAAAAATTAACTGTTTGGTGGCCCATTTTATTCAAAATACCTTATTTTATGTTCAACAGAAGAAAGAAACTCATACAGGAAACTCATTAGAACAACCTGAGGTCGAGTAAATGATGACAGACTTTTGAGTGAACTGTCCCTTTAATATCATGATTTCTGACTATACTTTAGAAAGCAGACTGAAACAATAATATGAAATTCTATAAATGTGTTTTAAAATATAGCATTACATTTATTGAATTAATGTTAACACATTTACTTTGACTACCCAGACCCCTAGCATCCAAAATAATTTTTTTCCCACATTCCAAATAATATTTTAATATTTTAAATTTGCTTTAATACAGTGACTATTTAAAGGTCCGCTATTAATCGTAAAAACACTATGTTATGTTCTCATTCTTAATATATATATATTCTTATGCTTAATATTTTTTTAATGGGTTTTTGTACTTAAATTTAAAAATTGAGCCCGTTCCAACTAGGGCTGGACCAGAATATTCGATTATTCGAATATTCGTTCGGTGTGTTAGCATTCGATTTTCAATTTTGAGATTCGAATATTCTTTTTTTTCGAACACCTGGCATCCCCCGCCAAACGGTTCTCATTCGCGCTTGAATATGAATCGCCCATTAGTGAATGTCATGAACATCATGATTCAGTTCATCTGGAATAGAAGACAAAAATGCCGAAGACCTCAGCTGTGTGGGAGCACTTTAAATTACGTGAGGACAAGACAAAGGCAGTGTGCCATATATGCGATTTGAAACTGGTCTACCACAACAGCACATCAAGTTTGAAAAACCTGTAAAAGTTCTGTAAGTAGTCGCCTATAGTATATTGTTGGTGTAAAAAACTATCAGCTTTTATCCGCCATGTTAATCAGTAATTTTACACATGATAAAAACGTGCACTTAATTTGCTTGGAAAATACTTGCAAATATGGCAGTCATTAAAAAACGCAGGCCTACAGTAGCCCAGCCTAATAATAATTTGTCTATTAAAAGTATTGCTCTTTACAGACTTGTATGTTCACTAGTGCAGTGTCCATTCTCGGAGTTTTTCTGTCAATATGGGGTGCTGTGTGTACATTAATGAGGAAAAAAAATGCTAATGCTAATTTTACTTAAATGATTTTAGCAAATGGCTGCAATATAACAAAGAGTGAAAAATGTAAGGGGGTCTGAATACTTTCCGTACCCACTGTAAACCCTGTCCGCATGTGGCGCGCCGCTTCCGGCTCGCGCGGTTCTGTAGTTTATTAAAGGTTCATTAATTCTGAACGTGTCGCGTGTCCATATTGCACCAAAATGCAACACTGCACTCCATTGGGTCCGCAGCAACACACCAGAAAGTCAACCATCACTGCAGCCCTCCACCAGTCGGGGCTTTATGGCAGAGTGGCCCGACGGAAGCCTCTCCTCAGTGCAAGACACATGAAAGCCCGCATGGAGTTGTGAGATGGTGAGAAATAAGATTCTCTGGTCGGATGAGGCCAAGATAGAACTTTTTGGCCTTAATTCTAAGCGGTATGTGTGGAGAAAACCAGGCACTGCTCATCACCTGTCCAATACAGTCTCAACAGTGAAGCATGGTGGTGGCAGCATCATGCTGTGGGGGGGTTTTTCAGGTGCAGGGACAGGACGACTGGTTGCAATTGAGGGAAAGATGAATGCGGCCAAGTACAGGGATATGCTGGATGAAAACCTTCTCCAGAGTGCTCAGGAGCTCAGACTGGGCCGAAGGTTTACCTTCCACCAAGACAATGACCCTAAGCACACAGCTAAAATAATGAAGGAGTGGCTTCACAACAACTCTGTGACTGTTCTTGAATGGCCCAGCCAGAGCCCTGACTTAAACCCAATTGAGCATCTCTGGAGAGACCTAAAAATGGCTGTCCACCAACGTTTACCATCCAACCTGACAGAACTGGAGAGGATCTGCATGGAGGAATGGCAGAGGATCCCCAAATCCAGGTGTGAAAAACTTGTTGCATCTTTCCCAAAAAGACTCATGGCTGTATTAGATCAAAAGGGTGCTTCTACTAAATACTGAGCAAAGGGTCTGAATACTTAAGACCATGTGATATTTCAGTTTTTCTTTTATAATAAATCTGCAAAAATGTCAACAATTATGTGTTTTTCTGTCAATATGGGGTGCTGTGTGTACATTAATGAGGAAAAAGAATTAACTTAAATGATTTTAGCAAATGGCTGCCATATAACAAAGAGTGAAAAATTTAAGGGGGTCTGAATACTTTCCATACCCACTGTAAACCCTGTCCGCATGTGGCGCGCCGCTTCCGGCTCGCGCGGTTCTGTAGTTTATTAAAGGTTCATTAATTCTGAACGTGTCGCGTGTCCATATTGCACCAAAATGCAACACTGCACTCCATTGGGTCCGCAGCAACACACCCGCCACGCGTGAAGTCGATTGGATGAACGGTTCTCGACATAATAATAATGCAAACAGACAGACACAGAGATTCCTGCCTTTATTAGAGAGAAGAATATTTTCAGCCCCCTCCCTCCGAAGCTTCGAATATTCGGTGTTGATTACTACCGAAGCTTCGAAGCTAAAAAAAAATGGTATTCGGACCAGCCCTAGTTCCTACACGTTACTACACACCATCTTACTAAAATCACTCATAAGTTGAAATGAAAACTTGCTGTTGATTACATTAGCAACACGGCCACATTTTCTGTGCAATCCTGATAGAATTCTACAAAGGAAAGGAGAGTGTTCATTCCTCTAACATGTCAAGGTCAGAGAAAATTATGCACCCTTCAGAATCACCTAAACCGTGCTAGAGATGATTGAGAGACGTCTCTCATAATAAATATCAATCTTACTTTCATTTATACAAGGCTTTAGGTCTGCCATGGAAGATTTGATTCATAAGCCCTAATATTCCTGGAGATCTTCTCTTGATCATCATCAGAATAATAGTTGCCTTTTATCCGCTGCTATTTTGACCTCCAGAGATTAATCAGACATATCGTTTTGGGTTAGAAGAGTTGGAAAGATATGTAACAAATGTAAAAAAAATCTAACAATATTGCTAAGTGTATTAAATGAAATCAATATTCAGCACCAAATTTCATTATTAGAATTATTAGTAAATATTTTTTAAACATTTTTTATAAATATTATTAATTTTAAAAAATACATTTCTGAAAATGTTTATTTAACATTATGGGTTTTTTTTATCAAATACAGTAGCAAAGCAAGTAAATGTTACTTGTACATAAAACGGCACAAACTTATGTAATAGAGTCATGGTACACCACAGGAAACGGAACATTAGCATGCGGTTTTACATTGACCATGAATCAATATTTGTAAAGGAAGATAAATGAGATATACGAGACACTTAAGTACCTGATTTACCATTTTGAATTATACAAAAGGAGCCAGAAATTCTAGAGATGTTTAACCATATATGACATCATTTGAATTTTCTGCTTGTTTCGTAGCTGAGCTCTTAGTGTTTTTGTTTGTACATTGTCACAATGTCATAAAACATCTGAAGATGCAGGAGATTACAAATGAATACTAGATAAAGAACATTAATGCAGGACATCAGGTGGCGTCTCCATGTGACAAGTTACGTATCACCAAATCCTTCTTTCACTGGACTGCCAGACAATAAAGAATAGAAAAAAACAATCATTGAGAGAACAAATAATTTGCCAGGTCTTTAAAAAAGCCTTAGGTATCTTTTTTTGCACTAGACAAAATAAAACAGAGCAGCAACACCATGATTTCAAACAGTTTAAGGAAGGGGACCAGTGGTGCATGTTGAATGAACTACTCCCAGGGTGCAGTGAGAAATACGTGGGTGAAGGGACAGCTGTTGTCTTAGACCTGCTCCGATTGGAAAAGCTCAACCTGCAGTTGGTGAATTGTGGCAGGAAGGGTCTGCTCATGCTTGATCCTCCCACTCATTCATTTACTGAAGCCATTTACGGGCAGAGAGCTGTGTCACTTCATTCATGCTCACATTTGATATCCATGCCATATGCTCGCTCATTCATTGAGGTCCCCTTCAGCACAGGTAATCAAAAAAATGGAATGCTATTTTTGTACTAGTTTTATATATACCCTTATTTTTATGGTTTCCGGACCCACGTACAACACACAAACAAAACACACACGAAATCTGACTCCTCTTATCATAACAAAATGGATTTACTGTGTTTTTATGTTATCAAATTTTCCAGAGCTGTACTAGGACCAATTGATCGTGATGCTTGAGATACATAAAGCACACGAGAAAAGTCATGCAAAAGAATGTTTGGTGATTGCTTCTGAAATCAAGACAAATAAACTCAGACTATTTTTTAAGATTTAATCTTGGTGCCAACAATGTTCAATTGTGAACCAAATGGATCCTGAAATCGTTGAAAATTTAAAAGAAAGTAATATAAATGTTCTATTTAATTGTCCACTAAAATTGAATTGCCTTTCATTTAAATGGATCCTTACAAACATTATTTTAAGAAAATAAGATTATGTGTGTGTATGTATGAAGAGAGAGACAGAAAGGCTTTGTGCTCTTGTGCTTTCATTGCATAAGCGAGTACACATTTTAACTAAATATATTGTTGCAAGTCAATCTTTAGCATTGAACAAAATCTTTTGGTCTGTGGATTCCTTTGTGCATTGTTTGCATAATGAACCAAGAGTGTTCAAGAAAAAATCATAATGACTTATGCTTTTATTCTTTTCTTTCTCTTGCAGATATTGGCCATCATATCCATTCTGTTCATCGTTCTTTCAACTGTTGCACTTTCCCTGAACACCTTGCCTGAACTCCAAGTGACAGACGAATTTGGCCAAGCCAATGACAATCCTCAACTCGCTCACGTTGAAGCCGTGTGTATTGCATGGTTTACAATGGAGTATCTCCTGCGCTTCCTGTCATCACCAAACAAGTGGAAATTCTTCAAAGGGCCACTAAATGTCATTGACTTATTAGCTATATTACCCTACTACGTCACTATTTTTCTGACTGAGTCGAACAAAAGTGTGCTGCAGTTCCAGAACGTGAGGAGGGTGGTACAGATATTCCGCATCATGAGAATATTGAGGATTCTGAAGTTGGCAAGACATTCAACAGGACTGCAGTCTCTTGGATTCACCCTCAGGCGCAGCTACAATGAGCTCGGTTTACTCATATTGTTCTTAGCCATGGGAATCATGATATTCTCAAGTTTGGTCTTCTTTGCAGAGAAAGATGAGGATGCAACCAAATTTACCAGCATCCCAGCTTCGTTTTGGTGGGCTACAATCACCATGACTACAGTGGGCTATGGAGATATTTACCCACAGACTCTGCTTGGCAAAATAGTCGGAGGACTTTGCTGCATTGCTGGTGTGCTGGTCATTGCCTTACCCATCCCTATTATTGTAAATAACTTCTCCGAGTTCTACAAGGAGCAGAAACGACAGGAAAAAGCCATCAAGAGAAGAGAGGCCTTAGAACGAGCCAAGAGAAACGGCAGCATTGTCTCAATGAACCTGAAAGATGCCTTCGCACGAAGTATGGAGCTAATGGATGTCGCCGTGGACAAAAGTGAGGTTAAACAGCCAATGGACAACCACCTTTCTCCGAGCCGGTGGGGTGTTCCACAGCGCACATCCTCGGATACCAGCCTCAGATCCTTTGACAAGAAGTTTCCTGAGAGTGGCCCAAACGGCTCACGGGAATATGTCAGAACGCCAAGTCCACAGCATCTGAACGCTCAGAAACTGGAGGAAATGTATAACCAGATGACAAGGACACAGTCCTTCTCAGATCTCAACACAACCAACAGCACACAACCTGCAGCTGTGTCAAACCACAAGGTAGAGTTGGAGATGAAGGAAGTCCCGACGGCCACCGAACGGCAACCAAAGGAAAGAGCAGTCACCGATGTCAGGAGCATATCAAGCGTTGACAGCTTTGCAAGCTGCACCGCTGAATTTGGACAGGGTGAGAAGGCATCCACCCCTTCTTATACTGCGGAGCAGGTTCAGCAAAGGCAACTGGATGTACCTCCGCACCTTCACCTCGGCCAGCTGACACCCTCTGACATGAGTCCGGAGGAGAACTCTGAGACTCTAAACCAAGACATTGACAAGCGACCAGATGGTGAGAACTTCAACGAGATCATAGAAAGCATCAGAAGCTCCATTCGAGGAACAAATCCAATAAAGACAAAGGGCCTCAAAGTCAACTTCATAGAAACGCCAGAAGACGCTCCTCTGACACCGCCCAACACATCTTCTCCACAGGATATCAACAACAGTCTTCTGGAAGATGACTCCCCGGAGGGAGAGTGCTCTCCACTCTGTTCGGATTCGGAAATGCTGGGTAGTATCCCAGTGAAAGGCTTGGTTCTTTCTCCAAAGATGCTAGCTGGTGGATATCCCGGGGAGACGGCGCTGCTTCTGGGGAACCTGGAGGAACAGGAACAGAACCAAATGGAAGTGGTTTCCGCAGCCATCTCCTCACCCAAAATAGCAGCACAGAACTGCACTCAAGTGGTAGTCGGTGGTAATGGAGCGGAAAAGCCAGACTCTAACCAAAGTGAACACAAGGTAGAGAACCACATGTTTACGCCAGAGATCCATCTAATGCCGGGGGATGGCAATCACTCGCCATCTTGCGAAACCGGTATGTGACTGTGACTTGATATTCATACAGAGTGGAGCGCACTGGTGGAGAAAAGGGCACGCAGATGTGGTCTGAAAGATAATTTTGCATGGCATGAAAAGTCCCTTGTAATTGTCATTGTCAATAACGCAAATGAGACTGCAGTTTCTTGCAGACAAGACCTGGAGGATGCGGGTGCAAACGAGAGGCTTGTTTAGAATGTATTTACCAACAATGAGGACATTGTTGACCTACCTGTACATTTTACCTTTTCACTTGTTTTATTATTTTATAGAGACAGTCGGAACCGTAGGGGGCCAGATTTACAAGAGCATGCATATTAACAAAGCTGTTTTACGGTGCTTAGTTTTAAGTGCTTAGTTTAGTTTGAGACTACAGCAATGACAATGCACATAGCCACAGAGGGCATAGTAGATGTCAAAAGGGTTTATGTTAGCCTTTTTTCTGTTTTAAAGAGGGAATTTTCATCAAAGACTGTGAAAAGTGAGCTGCAAAGTAGCGACGTATAGAAACATATCATGACTTTCTGTAGAAATGCAATGTGTACCTTATGCAGATGTGTTTGTGTTAAGATCTAGGAATGGTCTATAGTGTCACATATTTATTTTGGGGTTTTATTTAGTTGTATTATTTTTTATATTTGGTTTGGTACTCAAATTAGCAGCATCAAAATCTCAAATTAATGACCAGATGAATTGCATCACTTTTTTCCTTAATATCAGAGATGCATATACACCTGTAGTTGCCAAATGAGAATAACAATCAGACAATATACAATAGCTGTAAATTGTATATTGAATGTTATGCATTGCGATAGCTATGCCTGGATAAAATTAAGATGTCAACTTTCAAAAAAATAAGGTTTCAGGTTTAAACATACAGTATATCATGCAAACACATGGGTACAGCTGGTATGTATGTCTTAACTTATCTTTACATACTCAAATATTCAATAGCACAGCAAACAGTACATGTAAAAAAAAAAAAGTCTACATAGTGGTGTTAGAGCAATTTAACCATCAAATCAGTAGGTCTGGTCATTAAAACCTACAAATGTTGCTCACATATTTCCCTGTTAAAACTCAAAAACACAGTCCTCTTAGTAATGCTATTGTCAAAAGGACCAAAACACAAACTACGTTTTCATTTACACACACATCAAACTTAATCTTTTTTTTTTCATTTGACAAGAGTACAGTAGTGTAAATGCCACTACAGTTTCATTATTATTCATATTTCACCATATCTGTATCAATCAGATGCCTGACCTTTGGGTCATTTCTTAACAAACTCACATTTGTCTGGTTTTACTGAGTATTCAAGAATATTTTGTTCTCTTTTGAGTTATGTATTATCATCTGGCTGACATGTTTTTCTTGTCACATGAGAGAATATCCATTTTATGTTGCCTTTATTCCAAGATTGCTGGAAATATATATGTATATTACTTGCTTTGGCATGGCGGTTGGCTGATTGTTCAAAGTGTACATTGTGTTTGGAGAAATCACACAGTCTGAATGGGCTGATTGAGGGTTGTGAAAAAGACGAGGAGGAGGAACTCAAGACTTCAGCTGGCTCTCGCAGTTACACTATGGTGGAAAGTGCAATACAGCATACTGCAAACTATGCAGGCCAAGAATTGTGGCACTTTATTTACAGTCTAATGGATTTGTAAGTGTACAGGCAGAGACTTCAATTGTATTTTTCAGATTATATATCTTTAATATTTGAAATATCAGTGTTACCACTCAAAAAAAAGATTTGACGTTTTAAAAATACTTTGTGGCTGTCAGAATCACTCCGGTTATACTCTTCAAATAAGATTCTTCTGACAAATCAGACCAGGAGAGTCTTTTTTAAATTTCTACAAACAGGTTCATTTGAAATATGAAAAACAAACTCTTGAAATGATTTAATGGGCTCATAAAAAGTATTTTATGTTTTGTTAATTAATGCTGACAGTGATTCTATTTTTTCTAAACCAAAATTCTGCACGACCACAATTTACTGCCATATGGTGGTTGAAATGACACGTGCCTGTTCATAAACATTTATGAGAAGGCTATAAATCAGTTGGCTTTGTTCATATAGCACTGTACAGAAAATTATACTTTTTATAGGGGGGAAAAAATCAGGTCTTTAAGTAATAGATATGCGTAATATTAAGTTCTCAGGTTTTCTACAACACTAATCTTCTGCTATGGTGGATGTCTATGTTTTCTTCATTTAAAGAATGCATCATCTTGTTTCTTTTGTTGTCGTTGTTTTTAAAAGAATGTCGTCACATGTCGTTTCTGTTTTGACAGACTGTTGAATAATGGCCCATCTCATGTATTCCCACAGGATGGTCAGCTTCCCTTCTGTGCGTTATATACAGTGGCCCCCAAAAATATTTGGACAAAATGTGTGATATTTTTTGCAAAATATCAAATTAAGTTGAATGTATTTTAAAGATATATAGCACAAGCACACTTTTAAAGCAAAACATTTTACAAAAAAGTTTCAGATTAGGACAGATGTTTTTGGACACTTTCTGGTTGTCAAATATCAATGTACATTGTAAACTGGTAGAAAAAGTATTCAAAAATTACTCAATTACTTTGAAAAATAAAGAAAAGTACAGTTAGTTTTGGAAAAAAAAGCATCTTGCAGATGCTACTTAGTGTGATATTTTGTATCAAATTTAAGTGTCCAAATATTATATGGCAATACTGTATATAAATATTGAGGGTTCAAGCCATCAATGAATGAAGTTTTGTAACCAATTTTGTGCATGGCTAGCACTCCCTTTAGGCACCTCTGTTATAGTAAATGAATTGAATTTGTTTTTAGAGTGAAATATTTTTTCAGCATGTTGAAGCTGCTACAATTTCCTCAATACTGCATACACAGCAACAACTGTTTAAAAGGAATACTTCACCAAAAAAATGAAAATTCTGTCATCATTTATGTACCTCCATACCAGTATGACTTACTTTCGTCTGTGGAACATAGTTGATATTTTGTCCATACCATGGAAGTCAATGGAGTTCAATGTTGTTTTGGGCCACTAACATTATTCAAAATATGTAAACATAAAAATAAAATATGAGGGTGAGTAAATGATGACAGACTTTCCATTTTTGAGTGAACTATGCCTTTAAGTGATGCCATAAACACAAGCAAAACGAAATGCTCATATGAAATGTCTCATGTCTTATAAGTGCTTGCATATGCTCAAAAATACAATTTCAGAGCCCTGACCATTTGAACAGCTCATAAGATAAAAGTTATTTATAACTGGTATCCCCAGGGCCGTTTCTAGGCATAGGCGAGCTAGGAGGTCGCCTAGGGCGCCACCAGCTGAAGGGGCACCAATGAGCGCATGTACTGGCACTTTTAGCAGGGTTGTGATAAAGAGTGGCACGGTCTCCCTGAAATATGACTGCCACCCCCACTGGATCCCCCAACATTATTGGGCTAGAGTTCTTTCAATCTGACGATGCCTGTATGCCACTAGATCAGAGTGCTGTCAATTGCTGCCTGATTGTTGCATGCAAAGTTTGCATTTGGAGCGCTCAACAACGCCGTTAGATCAGTGGGCTCTGTCAGTGCTTTGGCAAGGTAACACTTTTTTTTGCCATGCAATAAAGCTAAATTCAAAGGCCAATTTAAAATATTGGTACAGTAAATAAAGTGCACAAAATCAGTATTTTGTTTAGGCAGTATTTGTGGCAGATTTGTCCAAAAGGTGTGCGTTTTTTGCGCCAATGCATTGTTAAAGGATCAGCGTGTCATGTAATATTCCCATATAAACTTTAACATCCAATTAAAAAATATTTGTATAGTAAAATTCGCTAATTCACGAGATCAATACATCCTTTATTAGACCGCTTTGTCGAGTTAAATGCATTCTTACGGAGGTGTCGAAATGCTGAATCAATTCATTCACTTCCAACAGCGCTTAAAATGGGAGCAGCGTCATAGAGGGCAGAGTCACGTTATATAAAGGGGAATTTAACGCGTTAACGAGTAACAAATGATTAAGTAGCTGCATTGGTTACTTTTATGCCACTGATAAAGCTTTTATATGTAGTTTCAAAAGGGGTAACAAAGGGATTTTATAGGTTTGACTGAAATAATAATGCAATAACTGACACTTTAAATCAATGTTTCAAGAAACAACAACAAAGTAATTGAACAAAAAACAGAAAGTCTAAACAATATCTAAAAATATTATCTAAACAATATGTAGTATATTATATAGTATCCAAATAAAAATGTAATAAAATTATGTGTAAATTATGTGCAATGTCTTAGCCACTAGGGATTGTTACA